TGTCCTAGCCCACCAGCTGGCTGTTTGGAGCTTCCTACGGCAGAGCCCATCACCGTCCCAACCAATCCGGGAGCAACCATCAAAGGCCAGACAGCTGGGAATCGTTCTCCCATGTTGAAGACTTGCTGCCCAAGAATTTGATCGTGGATTGTGGCTGTCCAAGTCACCCAAGAAGCTGAAAAGCACCACCTACTTCCGATCCAACCATCAAAGCACCACCGGAACGTTGTATTACTTCATTCCTTAGGTGAAACTCTTTCCTTAACGCTCTTATCTTCCTAGTTTACTTTTCGTTTATGGTTATTAATGGATTCATGAAGATCATATCAATTATTCGCCGCTAGAACCTAGTAATAGAAAGAGTTGTGTGAGGGATCTTTCATAGCCTAATCTTATTGTTAGTATTGGAATTTATTGTTGGAACAATCTACGTATGCAATGTTGGATTAAGATGGCTATCTTTTGAACTTCTATGCATGAGAATTAACCTAAGCTAAGTACCACTTCATATTTATCTTATCGTTCAATTCCGCATAAGATCTTGTTTATTATTACCTCTAAATCTAAGCGTGCAAACTTCTTTAAGCAAATCACTTTCGCATGGATTTTGTTTCACATCACAAAAATTTTCAAATCCGCTTCGATTCAAATTTGAAAATTGAAACCTCATTGAAACTTTCCTAATTTGGCACCGGCCAAATTTGGAAACTTTCAACTCACCAAATTTCAAATTTTAAATTTGAAAATACGAGAGGTGGTGGCAAAGGAGCCAACGATTAATGGAGAGGAGGGGTGGTGGATGAAGGGGAGGCCGGTGGCTAGAGGGAGGGCCGGCGGGATAATGGGTGAGGTGGCCGGTGGCTTTTGGGGAGCTCGGTAAGGAGCTTGGCCCGTAAGGTTGAGGGAGGAAGAAGAATATGAAAATGACTACGGGGAGCGATAAGAAGGAAGAAAACAAAAACAAAATAGAAGATCGAAGATAAAATGAAAGAGAGAATAAAAACCGCGAGCCTTGGACTCTTCTAAAGACTGACGGGTGATTCTTTGCCCTTCTTCTAGGGACTTCAAGTCACGAGCCCGGACCTATCCTGCGGCTAGTGAGAACTCTGATTCCTTTCCATAAGAATCTCACTAACGCTCTCTCACAAGAACACAAGTGTGGACACAAATTTTTAATATCAATTCTTCATCCCTATTACAATAGCTTAAGGCCCTATATATAGGCCACAACATGAGAAAAAAAATCAAAACTACAAAATTGCCCCTTGGGCCACAACACTCACATAAATTATCCTAGGGGTAAAACAGGAAATACATCAAATAAGAATTAAAATGCAGAAAATAACTCATAATTGAAAATTTAAATAATGGCCGTAGATTTACGACGCCGCCTGTGATAGATGCGCCAAATCTTCGTACCGATGTCCGCATCACCATGTTTTGAATTCTTCAATCTTTTCATCTCTTTTTTTATAAATTCACATCCAAAACTATGCAAGACAATTACACATTTCTTGCTCCTGAATCTCATCTTAAGATTATGAAATTTTGTCCACTACTGATCATTGATTTCAAAAATATATCGTGCATCCCCATGATAAATCTATATGCAAAGATTTATAGATGTTATATGACAAGGTGCACAACAACTATGCGCTACTTAGTTTGATGAATATCAAATACCAATTCAACAGCCAAATTATCGGCATACTGGCAAGAGTTCTAATGTTAGAAAATTGCCAAAAGTACAAAGCTTATGCATTAAGATGAGCAAATCAATAATTTGATGACTTGGAAACCATTTCCATTCAATTATTTTATTTTTTAGTTTTTCAATTTCAATTTATCTGAAAAAATAACTATGATGTATTGTTTATAAGAACATTATGGATTCTCTACTATCAATATTTTCCTTGGGTTGATTCACAATTAATTACTAATTTGATTCTCGAGTTTGTCCACCTGATCTCTCTTATTGGTCCAACAATCTCTATTAGCTTTTAGTCAAGTGCACCTGATCTCTCTTATTGGCCCAACAATCTCTATTGGTTCATGATTCAAGGGTTTTAGTTGAGTGCACTACAATAATTTTGTTATTGTGCTCTAGTTTTGACTTAAGATGTTAATGGAGATTTTTTAGTATACGACAACATTTGCATTCAAATTCAAGTAAAAATTATGTTCTAGATTCTTAGGTATGGGTGGGTGGTTCACGGATTGGTTTTCACAGGAGGGATGGGATTTTCAAATGATCTTCTTGTTCAATTATGGAGACTTGATGTTACTTCATCGTTCCATAAGGAGTAAGCACTGCAGCACTTCCAAGTTTCAATGATTTAAATATTTTACAAACTGCTAAATTTCTAAAAGTCTATATGATTATAAATAAAATACTTTAGACATGTATTAAACAATTTTTGGCTTAATAAATATTCTAGTTCCATTTAGTCTGATGTGTGTGGGTCAGATGCAACGTTCTTTGACTAGGGTGCAAGTGTGTTGCCAATTTTTGGGGAAAATCATCGCTTTGTACTAGCGTGAAGCTTGAATTGTTATGCTTGGTTATTTCTTCTGTGCTCTCTTATGTTTTCATAATTTGAACTTGGTTTTGCAAGTATAATTGACTACAGTCAAAACTGATGCAACTGAATCTTTTTTATTGTGACAATTTTTTATCGAGATGTGTTTTCTAGGCTTTTAAATTTCAGCAAAACTTCTGTATTTTATGGTTTGTATCAAAATAAAGCAAGGTGTTGTACTTAGTCCACCAGAACACAGATTTGCATGTATTATGACAAAATATAAATATTAAACCCACACCAAATAAGTAAATTAAAGAATTAGCCTCAAATCACAAAAGCAGCCCGATAACATTATTGGACATAAGTAGAATTGTTCATTTTCACAGTATTTTTATGAAATTCATCTTCGTATGGATTGTATCACATCAATTTGACTGTCAACTTCAGTTTGCATCGTGCTTTTGACATTGACTTCACTTTATACAGCTCAAATAGCTTAGCATCACTGAACCTACAACATTATTATGGTCGTCATAAAGGCGTTACCAGATTTCTACTATTGAACTTAAGCACGGATTCTGTAGTACTATCCGGAAACCTAGACATCAAGCTGGTAGATGGATGATTTAATTCTAAGAGCTAGATGACTTTTAGATATTTATCTGCGATGCTTCTATTATTCTAACTTATTTATTTAGTTTAAGATAAAACAGAATTTTCACTTGCAGAAGTTATGCAAGTGCGCTTTAACCATTTTCAGTAATTTACAAGAAATTAATGTAAAGAAAAAAATTAATCTATTCCAAATATCTAAAGAACTTGTTTCAATTGCACAGTCGATAAGGGCTAAATGTTCATATCTACAATACCATCATTTCATCTTTCTTTCATGCTAGTGTCTTCCTCAATCATCCTTGTTAGGCATCTTCGGAGCCCTGCAAGACTGCATGACACAGACAACTGTGACAGTCCAATGTCAAAAAGAACAACATTGCACATTATCACGCGCCATCAGGCACAATCACACAATGTAGTTTGTCAATCACATGCCATTTACTTCATATTTGGTAAAGTTTTGCCTAATTTTGTCACAGATTCGGTATAATTTTCATAAAATTCCATCTCTTTGTTTTAGATCTATTAAACCCAACAAAATTACTTCAAGATCTAGATTTCTTCTGCACCTTCTTGCCCACTTTTTCAGCTATATATTCCTAGCCCTTCTCATTCCCTCAAGTCACAGATGTTTAGAATTTTCTGAACCTATAAATTTTCAGCTTTTTTCTTGCTCCCGAGATCAAATATAGAACTTTGAGCAGTTTTAATTTGTTATTACTTTCATTAGAGTGGTGGAAAACGCACTTCCAAATTAATCTGCATAAGGACGTGAGAGGGTATTATTCTTAAATCACATGCATAGATAGAGAAGAAAGCTATTCCAATTTTTATGGAGCCATCAAAAGATTTCAACTCATGAAATTTCAGAGATGAATAAAAAATAAACTTTATTGGTTCTACCTCTTGTTATTTATGAGAAATAATGTTTTAGTCAAGGATCAAAATAAAATCAGTCAAGACTCAAGATTCATAGTGAGAATGATTTGGAATATCTCAAGCCTAAAACAATGGTATTTACTAGCAAAACAAGATCGGGGCAATCAATCAATCAAAATTTATCCAATTTTGATAGAGAAATCTAGTTTCACATATGAGATACTTGTTAGAGAAAAGGGCCAACAAAATGGTCCATTGACTCTTTATAAAGGTCCAAAATGATCCTCAACTATATTAAAGGACTATTTTTGTCCCTCAAGTCTTTAAAAAGAAATCAAAATAGTCCTATGATAAGACTATTTGGTTCCTCTTTAAAAAGTTGAGGGACCAAAATGATCCTTTAATATAGGTTGAGGCCTATATTGGTCTTTTATAAAGAGTCAAGGGACCAATTTGATCATTTTCTCATACTTCTTACAATATCAACTTGCGCCTAACTACCATGAAATAATTTTTGTATCCTGAGATTGTTCAAAAGATTGATGCTGTGTTTATTTGAGAAGTTCTGAGTGTGCTGTACTTTCTAGAATTATGTGTAGTCCAAAAACATGCAAAAGTTTGACAGAAAACCTCTGCATTGCTGACAAACCCGATGAAAGTGTTGCAACTTGATAAATGGTGCATTTCTAGCTGAATTTAGATTTCTTTAATCCTTATACGTGTCAATTTTAATAGCTTAGTGCCAAAAAATATATGCAATCAATTTTTTACTGTCAGAAAATAACTTATAATTGCATTGCATGAAAGAACAAGTAGCTAGTTGTATGGTATATAGCATCTTCGCTAGTTTTTGACAGCTTAGTTTAACATTTTGCATATCAAATGAACCTTGGGACACTGCGAGAAGAGCATGAAGACCTAGTTGTTAACAAACATAGTAGCTAAAAACTTGATGCATATTAAAGGCTTTCTTGAGAAAAATACCTCAGACAACATTTCCACTTTCCTCCCAGCAGCAACTTCAAATGCATAGATTTTCATGATACCCGTTATTGCATAAGCCTGCAAAAATATATAAGAATTAAGAGTCTCAAATTCACAAAAAATCCAAATATAGTAAAGGAAAATCAATATAATGCAACAAAATATTTCAGGAAAAACATAACATCCTGAAGCAAGTTTCTTTTTTTAATGCAACAAAGGAACAAACTAATTTATCACAACAGACTATTGCGGTTCCAAGGCAGAAATCAAATCAGTAATGACATGTGCTGCAGACTGAAGATTGGCCCTAATTCTGCTGTTACCATTGGAGACAGCTTTACCAAGTGCAGATGCCAGAAAAACCTAAAAGACATCTATTATCAATTTCCAAGTATACAGCAGTATGTCAGGTGAGGATGAAGCCCATAAATGATCAGAAATGACAAGAAGCAAAACATCCAAATCAAACAAACTCATTGTCTTCATTCTAGAAGAAAGGATAGAAAGCTTGTTTCTATGCCGTAGAATGAATCTCCTGTGATATACTTTGAAGCTCAGTGAAGCTCTTCCATTGAAGCCATGAGCTAGAAACTTAAAGAGAAGCTCTTCCAAAATACTTCAAAATAATAAAGCTTAAAGTATTGCATCGTAAGCTAAAGGTCCAAACTTTGAAGCTTAGGGAACAAGTTGAAACATCGCAAGCTTATACACTCCACTGATTCTAAAGCAAAATGTGTTCATCACATCCCTCGAAGGTGCATTTTTCACACCCTGTTTATGTGGAAAGAGTGTGGGTATTTTTCTAACTCTTTTTCTAGGTCAGTTTCTCGAATAAACATTTCAATTTGCAGGGATAAACCTTCGAATTCCTTAACCTTTTAAGATTGTTCTTGTTTATAATAATTACAGTTTCAAAGCATTGTTTATAATAATTACAGTTTTCAAATGCTTAAACACATGTGACACTTTTTTAATATACTCCAACAATTATCTTACACTGAATTATCACATTTTTTTATTCCCTGGCTTATACGTGCAGTCACTGAAGAGTTTTTTTATTTCACATTTCACCATACGCAGAATAAAATCTAAAATTAATCATATCTAAGTTAGTGAATCTTCCTTGCATCTTTTGAAAACAATTGGACTCATGGTTGTGAAAAATTAGATCCAACCAAGCAAGTGAGCCAGCCAATCTGTGAATCCGTTCTCAAACTGGCTTGGACCTGATTAAAAATTAAAATTTGTAGAGAACCGACATAAAGCTGTAAAAACTGGCGATTGGACAGATCAACCTATAAAATAACGAGTGGTTGAACTGATTAGGTTGATCTGATTTAACTATAAATTAAAATATTGAGATGGCGTTAGAATATAATATATTTTGAACTTATTTCATGTATATGAATTATATTTCATTATATATTATATATGTATACATATTATCACTGATTTATCATTATTAAAAACATTACATCATTCACATAATTTTTATTAATTTTAATAAAATTCACATCATTATAATTGAACTCCAGGTTGGATCCTAATTGAACATTTGAACTTTTTCTTCCACCAATTCAATGTTCAGTATGGTTCTAAAAACCTAGATTAAATTAACCACAAAAAAAAAAAAAAACGCATGCATCTAGTATCTATGATATGGAACAGTAGAGTACATATAAAAAGCAGACCACAACATTATTTCAACAGATGCATTTCGAGGGCCAGAAGTGGAATATGACAGGAAAGGTAGATAAATGATGAATTAGAATTCTCAATGAAAAGAATGATTGTTAGACACTATAGTTTCAATAATTCCCTAGGGAAAACAAAAAAAGCAAAGTACACACTGCACCATACAAACAAAAGAAAAAAAAGGAGTACATAATATTGATAATATCAGATACAACAACAACAAGCCTTTATCCCACTACGTGGGGTCGGCTACATGAATCCTTTTTCTCCATTGTGTCCTATTAAAAGTCAAATTCTCGTTTAAATCTAGTATTCCCTTGCTATGCACCCCTCCAAAGAAGTAAAACCAATTTTTGCAATCCCTTAAATCAACCAAAACAAATGCTCGCAGAAGAAGAGAACAACCATAGAAACATTTTAACCACTAATTTGTGAATATGCAAGTCAAGAGTCAAGCTAAAAATGACCCATCATGATTTTATGTCCCCATACAGGAGGGAAAGTCTACAATCTAATTTTGTATAGAACAATACCTTGACAGTGATGTCATTAGGATGGGCCTCCACTACATCACATAACTTTCCAATAATATAAGATGCAGAATAATTCCCGTCAGCAGTACCATACTCCCCTAGTACCCAGCATATGACCTACACTTCAATTCCACATCTTTAAGTTAAGAGAAGAAAGGTTCAATTGTGAAACTTGCAACACAAATAAAATATGAAAAGAAAATTTTAGTACCTGCAGGAACATAGATGGGAGTTTTGGCTCCCCAAGTATACCCAAATATGAGCTAACCTGCATAACATAAAATCTTCTGGTTTAGAATCCTGATTTTTATACATATTAGGAATAAATTGTTAATGAGTTTCATAAGAAACTTAGTTGTAAAAACTGAAATAAATAACAAATTACCTACTGCATAGTATTGATACTTGTAAATAGAAATATAACAATAATCAGATATGCAAAGAATCTAGAAAAGAAAACAATAATGAAAACGCTTCATAAAAGTAGAAGCTAGACTATGGTCGTTGGTGTCATCTCCCCTCATATGTCAAAGAAATTTATGTTTTCTCTCTTCATAAATGTAGAAAGCTAAAAAAAGTAGTGTTTAGAGCACAGTGAGTTCAATTATTATTAAAATAAAAAAGGCATAAGGTTCTTCAATTTCCAGAAACACCTCGTTCCAACTTCTATGAAAAGAATAATTTCATTTTAAGATTCAAGGTTCATTTGGACCGCAATGTTGATGTTGCACTACGTGAAACAAAACCAGAACTACTCATAAAGAGATAACAATTTCTTTGCTAGTTTAATTCCCATGATGTGCACGTGCAAGATATCAATTTACACATTTCCCACACAAATATAAAAAGAAAAACAGTCGAAAAGCATTCCCAAAAGAAGTCTTAAGTCCACAAAAAGGCTAGTTTCAGGGGTATTTCCATTCTTTTCCTTCCAAAATATTCTTTTATTTTGTTTCTACCTTCCTTTATTTCATCATTACTGATGATGACATCAGTAGACAATTCCGGCACGTCTATCACAGGAGACATCACAGATCGATGGCCACGATCAGGAACATTTATTTATGAGCTATTTTATGTTTTTCTATTTTGTGTTTTTGTATTAGTTTTATTATTTTAGTTATGTTTGACCATTGTACCCCTATGAGGGAAAGTAGCGAGTTGTATCCTGGAGGGCATGTTTGTCTTTGTGTTTTCTTCTTCATGGAGGCCTATTTATAGAGGCCAAGACTTTGTATTAGGGATGATGAATTATGAAAAAAATTTCAGTTTTCTTTGTTTGATCTCTAAGTGAGTTCTTGAGAGGAGAGACCCTAGGTGAGTGGGCAATACCCATCAACCTCAAAGATTCCAAGGTTCGCGGTTCTACGATCTCTTTGTGAGTTCTTGGTTCTTTTATTTTAGTCTTCATCTTCCACTTCCCTCTTCCCCTATACCGCCGACAATCCCCTCCCTATCTCCCATCAACCACCAGCTTTCCCCTCCCCTTGCTCCAAGCTCCGACCATGCCAAATTCTTCAACCCCCACCGCCGGCCACCCCTTGCTCTTTTTCCTTAATGTTGATTTCAATCCCCATTAAGACTTTCCTAATTCAATCCACTTAATATTGGGAAGAGATTTCATCCTTTTGAAATTCAAAATTTGAATTTCAAAAACCTTCCTAAATTGACTACGCCAAATTAGGAAAGTTTTCAAATTTTGAATCTAATTTAATATTAAATTAGATTGGATTTCTTCACCTTTTTTCTAAAGTGAGTTGATGCATTAAGGAGCATTAATTTTCCTCCCCAAACCCCTCTTCCTCTATGCATGTCGCCATCCCCTCTATTGATCCCCTTTACTTTTTCTTCTCTCCTCACATTAACACTACCTAATTTTGGATTTGGGATTCAAATTCAAATTTTCCTCCCATGTTTGAATTTTGAATTTCAAAATTCAAATCCCCTCATTAACTCTTTCCTAAAATACCTCACCACAAATAGGAAAGGGATTTAATTTCTATTCAATCAATTTTGAAATTCAAAACTCTTTCCCTATTATACAAATTCAATTAGGAAACTCTCCAAATAAATCAAAAATCTGAATTAATTTCAGATTTGATTTAAATCAAGAGTTATCCTATGGGGCCCACAATTAATTAGTAAATCCTTAATCCCCCCTTTTGTTTGGCCGGCCCCTCTCTCCTCCCTCTCTCTCCACTTGCCACAAAAGCATCAATTAATTCATCTCTTAATTCTCCCATAGCTGCCGCCCCTTCCCCCTAGCACAAATTTGGGTTAATTTGAATTCAAATTAATCCTCCTCTCTCCATTAAGCATGACACGAGTCCCGAGCTTGACCCCGGACTCGTCTACGATTAAGAGGGTCTCATCAATATTCAACAATCTTCGTTCACCAACCTAGATTTGGAGCTCGGAAATTTCGTGGAAAGATACGTGGATAGAGTTCTCTTCCAACTAGCCACCGCCATTGGAGAATGCTTCTCCGACAACCAGTGGTTAATTGTTTGCCGCCCACCGAATCCTACGAATCCGGGTAACTCTCTGTTGGCCATTACTCTCGGCGCCTTCTGTTTATTAGTGGCATCAATTTTATTGTCTAAAATCATTTTTTCCGTTAAGTCCACTCCAAGTGAGCGAATGTGAGGGAAACTCCTAGGCGAATTTTCTAATTGTTAGGAGGTGGATTCATTGTTATTGCCATAACTGTTGCTACCTTTGAATTATCATAATATTATGTATTTTAATTGTAATTCTTTGCCTCTCGAAATCGAATACTAACAATTCCTAGAATTCTATCTTTGGTGAAGCATTGTTAGATAGTTTGCATAACTTAATAACTTATATTAATTTCTTGCAATTCTTGAAAACATGTATGTTTCACATCAATAACTATTTAAGTTATTTTGCTAGGGTTATTTTCAATAGTCATTAAGGCTTATAAGAATTTTTTTAACAATTACATGTAGTTGATAATTTATTATTGATTTTTATTTTGTTTCTTCCATCTACAAAAGAAGAGATTTCATGAGCCATGTAAGGCAGTTTATGTTATGAATAAAATTTATAGATGGATGTAAAGTCACTTTTTCCTCTTATATTATGTGATTTAAATCATTGAATAAGTGGGAGGACTCCGTTACAGGAGAGATAATCTTCTTACTCAAGAACGAGGTTTGCTCATCCCCACACTTTTCTTAATCTTGTTGTCCTTTTCATATTCTTTACTAACTTATCTAGTTTTTTTTGTCAAGCCCGTCCAGCATCAAATTAATATTAGAGCCAAATTATTCAATTCATTCTACATGCAAGATTGTTAGTTTGAAAGCAATTTCCATTGAGGTGTTGAATCCTTTCATCATCAATACCAATTACTTCATACTTATTAAAATCCACTTTTGCCAAGCTTATTACTTACTTGTAATGAAAAATTAAATCATTGCTCATCGTAAACAGAAAAAAATTTTATTCACTTCAAACAATGAACCACACACCCATAAGTCTTCTTTTCCTCTGGCGTCTTCTTTCCCCTCCAAAAACCCTACACAAAATCTACCTAATCTCCATATACTTAGCCCTATTCAAATCCAAATTAGAATTCAAATTCCAACAAACCTTTAACACATTTCCTAAACCTCTTTCTTGATTTCCTCAAATAAACTAGCAACAAACTTAAAAAAAAATTCAAATTTAGTCAACCAAAAAAAAAAAAAAAAAGAATTAAATCAGATAGAACCCAACATAAACAGAAATCAAACTCAAATTCCACCCAACCCACCACAAATTCCTCTTTGGTTACCATTTAACCATAAAATTATCGCTTCTTGAACAATAAAGTAGGCTTTTTTCCTCCATCCTACAGACATCTTGAGGAATATGAATAATAGTTGAAGCCTTCCTATTTTGAGGACTAAAAAAGGAGAAACCAAAAGGCATTTCTGCTCAATGGCTCAGATTCTTCCACAAGGACCCTTACTACAGTCGAGGTGTCAGATCTTATACTACTAATTCCAGATAAAATTACTAGTGTTCATTCTAGATGACATTATTATCTAATCCGTTGTAAGAGATCAGGTCAACATTTGATGATGCTTTCAAGGATCAAAATTTTTGTTTCAAGTGTTTTATCAACACCAAATTTCGAAGCAGAATGCTTTGTAATAAGGGAAATTGATGTGGACCTTTTTTAACATAATTCTTTGAGTTCAACTTGTTCTTAGATTTCATTATTTTGTTAGTGTTGTTGTAGTATATGTTATTAAGTTTGCTAAAATTTTTTTTAAGTAATTTATTAAATATTTGTGAGTAGTTTGTTGATTCTGGGATCTACATAAAGAGATTTGATGATATGAATAAAATTCTTTAAAATTCTTATTGTTAATGTAGAGAAACTTTTCTTCATCTATTTTAAAATTTTGATCATTTACCAAGTGGGAGACTTGAAACCCTTTTGAGAGAGGCAATGTCTTTTGTTGAAGAGTAAAGCTTGCTCATTCTGTTACTTTTATTATCTCTTCATCTTTTGCTTCTCCATTATTATTTCTTCCATTTCCTTAGATGAACAATGGTACTAGAAAACTGAACTGAAATGAAGGTAAAGTAAAGAAGCAAAAAGGAAAATATTGATTTCTTATGCCTAAAAGTACTTGACAAAATTGAAAAATAATCCTTGCTAGCTGGCTATGTTTTGGGGTAATGAGTTAACCAAGACTTACTGGGGGTATCATTTAATTGATTATGTAAACATAATATAGAATATATTATTGTAGATGAGGATGTGAAAAAAAAAGCTACCACTTAAACGAGCTAGGTTCAGTGTTTAGACAAAAAAACTCCATGCTAAAGTGTTTGTCAATCAAAATCCATGAGTTCACTAGACGCATCTTATACCAACAAGAACTGTCAACTGACAGCTCAGTAACATTAATTGTGAAATAATAAGGATATGATTTTCACTACTTTATGGGGCATGCAACACATACTTCATCATAATCTACAGAGCAGAAATATTAAAATGCATTACAAGTTCATTTGTCAATTCACAGGCAGGAAAAGTCATCAGAAATACATACAGCTGATGATCTTAATTGGCTATCTGCACCTTCATCATCTTCTCCAAACCCTTCAGCAATAAGCCTCATTAGGTTGTGTGCCACTTTGACATTTACAAGATCACCAGCATGCTCAAAGACCTTATTCATGGTCTGGACAACAAAATTTGTTAGTGAACCAGCAACAGCCCAAAAAGATCAAGAAATAACGTAACATCAATTGGGGCCACCTGGATAAACCATTGGTTGCTTGGTGCAAATTGTTCGGCAAGCTCAACACAACGTGAAGCTATTTCAGTTTTATAATGATTATCATTGATGCTAATCATGTAATCAATCATCCTATCAACTATGACTTCAACATTGGTGGACTTTGTCATCTTATATAGTAGCTCAAAAGTCTTCCGCTTCAATGTATCATCGGGATCCTGGTCAAATAAAATATCAATACAACGCTCATAACAGTCATTCCAGAAATTATATAAAGAAGGATAAAAAAACATCAAAAAATACACAACATGCTATTACAAACATTCTATATATGCAAAATAAGGGAAACAAAACTC